AAGAACAGCAGGTAACAATACCTCTAAAGAAGAAAATACAAAGAATGATAGTAAATCCAGGAGAAAGTATACATTTCAATATTTTTTTCAGGAAAGGTTCTGAAAAGATACGTGTATGTCAAGACTTCTACAGAGGAGTTTTGGGTATTAACATCTCTCGTGTAAGAAAAGTACTATGAAAAACTTGACAAGAAACAGAACTAAAAGATATGCGTGGTCGGAACACTACATCTAGGATTTCTGAAAACGATATTGAGTTTGTAAGAGAACATATTCGATCCTTCAATAAAGTTCCTTCACATTACTGCAGAAGTAAAAGCATTAAGGAGTACCTTGAAAGTAATCTGAATAGGACAAAGATGTATGAATTATATAAAGCAGAATGTGCTAAATGTGATCGTAACCCAGTAAAGTTTTCAAAGTACAGAGATATCTTTAACAAAGATTTTAATCTTTCATTTCACATTCTTTAAAAGGACAGGTGTGATTTATGTGAGGAAATTGAAACGAAAGCTAAAAACAAAGAAACAGTGAATGAGCAAACTAGAGCTAAATTTGAGAAGCATAAATCTGACAAGGGTGACACAAAAACAGAACGAGACACTGATAGAAATCTAGATGACCCAACAACAGCAACAATCTGCTTTGACCTTGAAAATGTTATTGCCTTACCAAGAGCTGATATATCAAACTTCTTCTATAAACGTAAGTTAAATACCTATAATCTCACTGCACATTGTTCAGTTGACAAAGCTGTTTTATAACGCGATATGGACAGAGGCAGACGCTGGAAGAGGCGGAAATGAAATAGCAAGTGCTCTTGTAAACATTTTGCATGAAATTAATTCAGTTCATCCTGGAATCAAGAACTACATCCTTTGGTCGGACGCTTGTGTACCTCAGAATCGTAATTCGATAATGACTTTTGCACTTAAGACTTTTATGAATACGCATAACATACATTCAAACACACAAAAAATTTGGCTGTCCAGGTCATTCAGCGATCCAGGAAGTGGATAATGCACATAACAACATAGAAAAAGCCCTGAAATGTTCCGAGGTCTTCAGTCCAGTGTGTCATTGGTTCGAGTTTTAAAATCAATCGATGCACGACGGAAAGGACCATTTAAAGTGATACAAATGCGACCTCCTCAACTTTTATGACTATCAAAAAGTCACAAATACTTTAAATTTTGGAAGTGTACCATACACAAAGGTCAAATGCTTAAAATACTCACGAAACGATAAAATGGTATAAGTTTTAAATTGTCGTTTACTGAACAAGAATTTGGACATGGGGTAATATTGACTGGATCAGCGACTCGCAACGCCCGACAGTGCTTATCTTTACCAATTCCATTACCAGTTTCAAGTCATAAGAAACCGGTAATAAGCAGTCTGAAAAAGAAAGACTTAACTAGTATGCTCAAATATATGAGCCAAATTGATAGCCAGTATTATATGGCTAAAGGCTTGATAATAACTTAAAAAAGAGAATACAAAATTGACAGTATCACAATAGTTCAGTGTTTTCCCTGAAAATTGTTCTCATGTTATAAACAGTTTATTGTTTTATTTTAATTGACTGTTTTTGTGTGTTAAGAGTTCAGAAATTTAATTCAGGTTTTGAAAAAATGATATGTCGAAGTTGATATTGTTATTGCAATATTTTTATGTTTAGTAATGATGTACTACAGCAAAGCATTTAAGTGGTATTGTTTTTAATGATTTTATAGTAATCAATAGCAAAAATACCTATACTGCTATTGTAAAAGATGTAATAGTCACTTTGGCACAGTATCTGTAAATTGCGCTAAAGTTACATCATGTTAAGTACAATGTTTTACTAGCTTGCATTTGCGGTAGACAATCATTGTCATAATCAAACTGTTTTGATTTATAATTATAGTGGTTGTCATATTAATCATAGATGTTTCAAGCCTGTAAATTGTTTAAGAAAACATTATCTTTTGTAAATCGGATTTGCGTAAGAAAATGTACATTTAGTTTGATGGCAGTTATACCCCGGTCACATATTCACGGAATACGCCCACGGAAGAGCCACGGATTAATTTCGGCATCGTCCGTAGCTACCCGTACTGGTCTGTAGCTCTCCGTATTGTAACCGTAATCAATCGTAGTAGTCCTTGTATATCCGTAGCGATCCTTGACAATTTTTGAACATGCACAAAAATTTGCTACGGAAAAATCAACCGTAGCGTATCCCTACTAGTCCGTATTAAACCGTTCTGATACGTACTGGTCCGTACGGAAACCGTACTAGTCCGTACTGATTCGTAGGCCTCAACCTGCTACGGATTTCCACGGGTTGGTACGGAGAACTACGTATTTGTACGGTTACCCTACGTATAAGGTACGGTTTTAATACGGATTAATACGGCATTGTCACGGAAAGCTACGATCGTAATACGTTGTACTACGGAGAGGCAGGGATTAGCACGGTCTTATACGGTTTATTGCTTTGCAACACGAAACGGTACGGAATGGTACGGTCCACCACTGTTTAGTATACGGATAAACACGGATTTTTATTACATACGTGGGATAGATTAATAGTATCATGTGCTTTTTCAATGGTATAAATACTACCTTCTTGTTAATATGGACATATTTTCGTAAACATTCAATAAATGATAATTGCCATTTACTGGCTGCAACTTTATATTGAAATAGCTCAGAATGCGGAGGCAGTGGTCGAGCTGCTTGATGACATGCATAGAGGTGAAAATATAGTACTAGTAATACCATACTACAATTCATAAGTAATAGAATAACATTTGATGTTACATATTTTACAAACATTAATTTGGATCGTGAAATTGGAGTAAATATGTACATAAAACAAAGTGTCTCATAAGCCTCGGACGCTGGCCCTTGAGTGATAATAAGATTAATTAACAAGCTTTTACATATTTTTAAAACATAAACATTCACGATAATTAATGTTATTGTAAAATGAACAGCAAAATTCAAAATCAAAAGAGAACCAGTATTGATCAACATTTTTCTTTAATGAATACTAGCTCATATCTAATCACGTAAGAGGAGATGGTGGACTAGAGATGGGCTATTACGAAGACCTCTTCATGTTTAGTATGAGGCTCTCATGGCCGAACCTGTTGAGGATCCGGCGTCCTTCACGAAATTCATTTTAATCGGACCTGATATGTCTCGGGGGTCGGACGCGATGAGGGCGAATCCTCTCCGCCAAAATCAAACTCTGCAATTCGTTTATATGTGAGGCATTTTGAAAATGAGCATGCAAGAGGTTGTGGACGGATATAATAGGTCCGTATAGGTCCGTGGCAATACGTTCTTCTCCGTATCAATTCGTTCTTCTCCGTATCAGACCCGTACTAATTCGTACTAACCCGTGCTTATACCGTAGCAGACCGTAGTGTATCCTTAGTGCATCCGTCCTGATTCGTGTCGCTCCGTACCAAAACGTGTCGGTCCGTAACAATCCGTGTCTCTCCCGGGGCTTTTGGTGGTAAATCCGTCGAAATCCGTACTCATACCGTTGTGTGACCGTACTGGAACCGTAGCGGACTACGGAATTTCACATTTCCGTAGTAATCCGTGAACGATTAGACCGTAGCTCTTCCGTGGCATTATCCGTGAATATGTGACCGGGGCATTAAGTGTTCAGTTCAAAATAATAAAATTTGTAAATCATGAATATTCTGGTTTATGTTACCATCCGAAATCCAGTTTACATTGTCCCGAAGACAAAAGATTTAAGTTCCAAAGTCATATATCAATAAATTTTGACATAAATTTTAGAGCCAAATGCAGCTAAGTTCGGAGCTGACTCTGGAATTAAATTTATTCATAGAAAAAGTAAAATAAAAGGAAATTTTGAAATATGTTTTGTGCATTTTTCAATTTGTTTTATTTTGAGTTTACTTGATATTTGGGATAATGTGAGTCTATATAAAAACAAAAGAGTATACAAAAAATCATAAAAATCTGTAAATTTATGTGAGTTCTGGTGACATTTCAATCTTTAAAAACGTTTTTCTCAAAACAAAAAAAATCGAGTTATATGACTCTGGAATTAAGGTGACGAATTGCTAGAAGAATTTTTTTTGAAGTTTTTACTATAAGTTTTTACTATATAAATATAAAGAAAACCAATGACCCCCGGGGCGGGGCCGATTTTGACCCCAGGGCTATAATTTGAACAATCTGGGTAGAGGTCTATCAGACAATGCCTTTGCAAAATATCTAAGCTCTAGGCCTTTTGGGTCTTTACAAGGAGGTGTTTTAAGTTTTTATTATATGTACATATAGTGAAAATCAATGACCCCGGGGCGGGCCCGATTTTGACCCAAGGGCTATAATTTGAACAATCTTGGTAAGGGTCTACCAGACGATGCCATATGTAAAATATCTAAGCTCTAATCCTTTTGGGTTTTTACAAGAAGGTATTTTAAGATTTTACTATATGTACATATAGTGAAAATCAATGACCCCCGGGGCGGGGCCAATTTTGACCCCAGGGCAATAATTTGAACAATCTTGTTAGAGGTCTACCAGACAATGCCTTATGCAAAATATCTAAGCTCTAGGCCTATTTGGTCTTTACAAGAAGATTTTTTAAATTTATTCTTATAATTCCTTTTAGTTGCCATGGCAACCAGATTTCTGCATGGAATGAAATTCTTTGAACAACTTTGGAAGCCATTCACCCAAGGAACAATCCTGCCAAGTTTGGTTGAAATTGGACTAGTGGTTTTTCACAAGAAGATTTTTTAAGTTCACTATATAATCTATATAACACACACACAAACACACACACAAACACACACACACACAGGTGAATCGCTATATGCCACCGCATCGCAGATGCTGCGGTGGCATAAAAATAAATACCTTATATAACACACACACAAACACACACACAAACACACACACACACAGGTGAATCGCTATATGCCACCGCATCGCAGATGCTGCGGTGGCATAAAAATAAATACCTTGTTCTGATGGTGAAATGTCCTTGGCTACAATTGCCCTCATCATGGGGAATGGCAGCAACTCACACACTAACAGCAATATACCTACAATACAGGTGGCTTTATTAATTGTAGAAGAATACCGTGCAATTTTCAACAAGTTATTGTCCATCTGTTACCTAGTATACATTATCTTACAGAATACTTACAAAGTTCAATATTACATAAAGTTTCCATGCTGAATTCACATAATGCTTTGAATTTAAAAATAGATCAGTCCATTAATAATTTTCATAAATTCAATGTACACTAAGACTGCTCAGCCTACAGTTTGTGTATTATAAAATTTAAATGAATAGAAACAATGACAACATACCAAAGTAAATAGCAGTATCATTATGTACCACAGTAATCCACAAGGTGCCAAGAGCTTTTGACAGGAATCCAGCAAAGGCAATGTGTACATCTGTAACATAGTTTCTCAAGAACGGGGGTACCATTCCTGTGCTCATAGCAGCACATGCCATTGCGACTGATAGAAACACACCTATTTTATTGACTGGCCATGCCATTGGTTCACCAAGCAAGTATAAGACTAAGGTATTAATCTGACCAAGGTGCACAATAGCATAGGTTTGGAATGCTAGAATAGCTAACCATATCCTTACAAGCTTTATGTTGCCTCTACATCGGAAAAAACGTCCCATTGGTCCAAATGTGTCAATACAACAATTTCCCGAAATGTCTCTTCTCGGTGATCGATTTGGTTCAATTTCTTTCACCAAGAAAAATGACAGCAAGAATGATATCAAACTACATATAAAACAAAACCAAAAGGGCTCCAAGAAACTATAATCACTGGAAGCCACCCAGAACCCAGCCATTATATTTGCTACAGCATATGCAGCACCATTTAAAAGTTCTTGAAGAGCAAGTCGACTTGATCTCTGATGAGGCTTGACAACATTTATAGCATAGTATGACCCCCCAGCCAGAAATGCGGTCATGCTTCCACTCAATCCCCTCACAGCTGATGCCATAAAAAGACCGTCCAGAGCCCAGCCTGTATACTGTATCAGAATGTATATCAAACAATATATCGTACTCCCAAGAGCAGGCAGCCATAATAATATTTTACGTCGACCTGTCCTGTCACTAAGTGCACCTAATATAATAACTGCAACAACAGCAGGCAAGCCTTCAGCAATCTGCAGGCTTAGAATTGTAACTGTAGACTCTCTCTGTGCGTCATGATACAGCAAAGTTTCATTCACAGGTTTTCCTTCAATATCAGCATCTCTAGGATTCAAATGTTTTTGTTTATATGTTTCAGAACTTACGTATTCCTGAAAGAGTGGTAATGACATGTGACGTGCCAAGAAAAACATGAAGTATGCAGCTTCAACTATGTAAGATTGAATGGAGTCCAGAAAGTTCATACACACATCATTTGCTTTACGAAGCCCTGATGGGCTGTTTGGTTGAGTAGCCATTTTGAATAATTTGTCAAAGAAATAATGCCTACTATTGTATCCTTAAGTTAGGCACTGCTAAGAATGTTTCCTGTCATATTTTAAACCCCCATCATCTACACAAGAAGTTGAAATGTCAGTACATCTTCATATATGCAAACTTGATATATCTGAAATACAAAAGATAACATTTTAATTAGAATAAATTTAATTCAAATCTTTTATTTATTAAAACACCCATCATTTGTTTCCCTGCACCACACCCTCTTTTTAAATAGCCTAGAGTTTTACAATCAGAACAGTACATCCCTGAAAATTTCTTGACATAGGTCATTTTCTTTTGGGGTCTTTCACTCAATGAGAGTAATTATGATCATACATGCATTATGTTAGAAAGTGATGAGTCAAATGGTCCTTAAGTTATTTAGCAGAAACAAACTGGTCTTCTGACCAACCTACAAACATTTTTGTATTTTAATTTTTATATAATTTGCATATATATATATATTTTGTATATTTTGAATTTCATAGGTAGCATTTCATTTTAATTTGGAGATATAATAAGATAACTATCAGTGTAAGACTTTAACAGCACTTAAGATTATTAATTCCATTCATTTGTCTTTAATATAAATGCCACTGTCATAAATGATAATAAATAAGAATGATGTTCAGTGACTATTGTTTAAACTTTAGCCATACGGTGGTGGTGTTGGTAGTTATCAATTTCACTCCAGATCACAGCAGTAAGCCACATTGCATATACCAGAGCACAGTTCAGCCACTTTAGCCACACCTATCTGTTTTTATACTTAATAATTATGCTGTGTGCCACAATGTGAATTTTAGAAACAATTTGCTTGCTGACCTCATGACCTCCCCCCATCTCCCTTTTCCCTCCCCCATGAAATGTGTCCCAGAGTCCTAGAAAGTTACCTAGAAATCATGGTATGTATGATAAATATGCTAGTAATTTTAAGTAAATTTTTGTACTTTTAGTTACATCATTTCATGTATGATTCTCATTTGTTATAGTCATAATCTTACCTGTGAATTTTCATGATTGTAACCTTAACCACGGATTTATATTACAAGGATCGGACACTATCGTTTAGCTTAAAATCTCGTCACGCGCATGCGCGGAATCGCTTATCGGATTAAGGTGGACAGAATGACAGATGGCGGAACGCGCGGAGTGCGAAATATGACAGATTTTCACAAGAGTATGTGGTGTTATGGCAGCTTTGTGAAAGTTCTTACACATATTAAATGTATTTATACAGTATTATTTTGTATCGCTAAAGTATTAATATATGAAAATATTCCGATAGAACGCTGCAACGCTGAGTTAAAATAGTACCTAATTTAAAAAATATTTGTCTATTGTTTAGGCATACTCTCTACACTTTGACGCCCTTTAACTTCAAGCACAAATTATTACCGCGATTCAGATTAAGATAATTAATTTCTACATGGTTTAATGGTTGCAATGCAAAAAAAAGTTTCTTGATTGCTTAAAAACTTTTAAAGAAATTCATGTTTGAAATTTGTCTTTTTTTTCTGTGAATTATTTCCAAATAATTTGAACATCTTTTATTTGATTACCTGAATATTAGTATAAATGTAGTATTCTACTAATTAGTGTATTAAATATATTTTCAGATCAATGAAAAAAGCGTTCATACATAGATGAATTCATTATATTGGCAAGGAAGAAACTTGTATTGGCATACAGAACAGCTGTTTTATAATATTATTTTTTATGTTGACACAGAATTTATCATAGTTATCCTTCACAATTCCCGTCAAATGATTTATTTGCCATATGTTTATTTTCATTTTTTCAACGAAAGGACTTGTATATTTTCAATTTCATTTATAAATGTTAATAAAGAAAATAGATTTACATTGTATTTATATCTATCATCTTCAGAATCATTTTCTCATTACACATACAATGGACTGTAGTTTAAGACCGCACACATACAAAATATACATTCAAATTCTATTTGTTTTTGAAGATTGATTGTTGCAATTATCACATGCAACCTGGTAATGAAAGTTTGAAAATAAAGTTTTTCAATTATCACTTGTTACCTGGTAATTAACCCCCTTCAAAAGTAATTAAACTTCAAAGACATTTAAGTGATGTCACGGATTTATATTACAATTGGATCCATGGCGATGTGTAAAAAATAATCAACAGTTACTTTTATTTCGCATAATACTGACTCAAACTGTAAAGATTTTTATTGTTTTTCTAGTGCTAAATTAAAAAATATCAGAAATATCTTTCTACAGGCATTCAAATAAAAAGAATAATCAAAATATGCGAGTGACATTAAAAAGGCCGGAATCGAGACAGCCACACGAGAGTAGGGCCTACTTTACTGTTACGATGGTTGTCTACTTAACTGCACCAACAGATAATAATGATATAAATTATGAATGAAATTTAAATATTGTATGAATATGGCAATATTAAAATCTCGGCAATATTTTGTACTAAAAAAATGAATATTTTCTTCACGTGTTGAGCGAATTGTAAAGCCCGCAATACATTACCCGTAAAACAATTGTGCGTTAATAAATTTGACTACGTAACCCAATAAATCTTAAATATTGCATCTTTGATCAACTGTGAATAACTTACATTGGCTTCTTTTTTATTTTGAAATTGAATTTATTACGTGTCCATAATAATTAATTTCAAATACCTGCTTTTTATATAAAAAATGTAAATTTACCGCGGATTTCGTCAAGTTATTTTTTTTAATCGCCGTTGCAGACAAATAAACTATACCTTTAAAAAATAAATTAGATATTTGAATTAAACAAGTATTTTTCTTCAAAATAAACTTTAAATTTCCAAAATCAGATAATAAATGGAAAAGCTATATGGTATTTTGTAAGGTAGGTATCCGTTGCGAACGGGCATTTACGCTTAGCGCCGGTAGATTATCGATCGATGTACCTTTATCGGGTGCACGACAAGATACCGTATTGTTTCTATTTATAGCCCCCCTTCTAATTAGCGCCTCCTGGGTGAAAAATGAAAAAAAAATCTTACTCGACTTAAAAATTTTAATATCCGATGTGTATTTAAAAAATAAACAGAAAAAAAACTAACTGTTGTAACTTCCAAGTAACATTCAACTTCCAGTTTGAATGCATTCGTGTACGTTTTCTTAGAAGTGCAACCTTCCATTGTGTATTGATTAAATCATTACATCAAGTTTTTTACAACACAGGTAAACTGATGCGTGTTAGTCATAATTTCCCGCCAAAGCAGGAAAAATCAATACTTGACAAAGTTTATCTCGGTCAGCGGACTACTGTATAGTCTACAATAATTTTGTGCTGCTTATTTATCGTATGTGAAGGACAAAAATAGTTGGGAGATTTTTAGATATTTTCAAACATAAAATTAATTTTTTCATTTTATGCAAATGTGCTTCTAATTAACCCCCCCCCCCCCGTTTCCGTTTTTGCAACGCCCCAGGGGCGATAAATGGAAACAATACGGTATTTAAGCATTTATATAGGGTTAACTGGGAGTGTCCCATCCCTGTAACATAAATCCGTGCCTTAACTTATATCATTGTCCACACTCTAATTTATTTACATAAATTTTATTAATTTTATGAAATAATATTTCATCCTTTAAATCATTATTTCTTATTTGTACATTTAGCATTTTTTATGTAACTGTAATCTATGATGTTGCAAAAAAAAATATTGGTGTGATTATTGCCAATATTGGTTACTAAACATAAGATTCGGTCATCTGATGTGCTTTAAAGGGGATTTAAACTAGAAAATATATGTGTACTCAGGGATCATTCTAGGGGGCGATTTCCGCGATTTCTCGCAAAAAAATCACCAAAATCTCAGAGAAATTTGTGAAATGAGAGAAAATCTCGCACGGCAATTTCAGCCGGAAAATGTCTAATCACAATCTAAAAAATACTAAAATCACACAAAAATATGATGAAAAATTTACGATTCCCATCAAGAATTTAATTTCAAATTGTTTACTAATGAAATCGGGGTAAAAAAACTCCAAAAAGTAGTCCAACACTTTGAATTATTTAGCCTAAAATAATTGCCGATCGGAGACCGCAAATTCACCGTACAGAATGAAATACGGTATGATGGCTATTGTAACCTTTATCTATCTGTAAGTCGAGAATTTACACAAAACACTTTTAATTGATTTTAATAAAAATTGTTAGACACAGACTAGCATAAAAATGGACATGTCAAAACCAAATATCGGTAAAATTTGTCTTCTAAATGTCACATCAACCACGGTAAATTTTGCCGTAAAGAACAAATTAAAAAATTTTGTTTTAGGATTCCTGATGAAATAGCCGATAATAAATATCCTTTTATTGAACAAAAGTATTTAATTTCATATAATTGCAATCAGCAACAGCTAGAATTGTGAATGTTTCAGCGGAAAACAGACAAATATTCATTTGTCACATATTTTCGCGATGTCGTGATTAAAAAAAACAAACTAAAAGGAAGTTGAGTGTAACATGTATTTAAAGGTGTTTTATAACACTAAAAATGATGTTTATGAATAAAAATTACTTTAGGTATTGTTTATATTTGTGGATATGGAGATATTTGTCATTATGTGTTCAGGTCACATATTCAATGAATATTTTTTAATGGAGGGAGGTGTGTGAAGAGAATCATAAACTGATAAAGAAAACAAAATGTAAGGCTATAAAAAATATTCTTCAAATCTCAACAATCACTTCTGTACAGTACAGTGTTGTCCATTAGGAACATTGGCTGCAAATAATAGTTGTAGTAGATATCCATGTATAATTCTTTTATATTTCAGAATGAAAGTGTTATATTTATTTTTTACAATTAGAATTTTATTATGTTTAAAAATTCACAAAAGAAAAGGCATAGGATGAATAAAAAAAGTGAAAACAAAAATCACTGTAATAAACAGAGCTACATCTATATCCTCATTAGATAAACAATGTTTATATGTACAGTGATTTTAAAAAGTTAGAAATTTCCATATTTTTAACCTCGCCCATCATGAAAATTAAATCTCTCAAGAAAATCTAATTTCTCTCATTAAAATTTCTCAAATGAGAGAAAATCTCTCACTAAAACTCCTGACCAGAATAATCCCTGGTACTTAAAACAATCTTGTCTGAATTTCTGAAGTTATGACTGAAAATATGTTATTCAAAGGATAAGAATGCAACTTTTAACTGGCAATACTTATGTTGTACTTATTGCCTTAGTTAAGTTAGTAGACTGGTTGTTGTCAAATTTTATTATTATTCATTTTTTTATTTTCATGTTTTGTTCATTTTCATTCTTTGTAACCCTTATGTCTTATACACGTAGCATTTATTTAAATTCCTCATATTTGCATGCTTTAAGATAAAGTTACGTTATGTTACATGCTTTTGGAAAAACAAAGAATAATCCGAAATTTTAACGTCCGAATACATGTTGAGTAGTTAAAATAAATAATGCAATATATCCCACATCTTTCAAAACAATTGTTACCCGTTATGAGAAAATGATTATTATTAAGAGTGCTCTCAACAAAACAAATTACAATACCTTCCAAGTAATTGAATAAAATATATAAAATTATTCAATAATTTTTACTTCCTCTGTTCATTAGGCACGCTTGATTACATTACTAAATGTTTGACCTGTTCATTTAAGAACGCTTTTATGTTTAATGTAAAGATGTACCATTCACAGTGAACATCTAATAATCTATATTATTGTTCTAATTGGTATACTTATTTGAATAGATATTAATTGACTTGAGTCTTAATTGATGTTTACCTTCCGAAATAATCATTTATCAATCTGGGTAGGGGGTAATATAAAAAGATGGTCAGTCATTGATTAACTGTATCATTAATCGCTCAACATTAAGTAACTTTGTTAAAAAGTCAATTTGTTCAAGTTTAAATGTTTGCAAACTTACCAGTTTTTGTTTATTAAAGCTATACACGTGCTTTAAAATGATGATAAATTAAAATGCATGTATTTAAAAATATGTCAAAGAACTTTTGATACCGTACGTTATTGCTAATTAATGTAAATAAAAAGGTGTCACTTGTACATGCTGGCAATGAAATCGCACCCACAAAATTGAACAAATTATTACTTTTCAAGAATTCTTTATAGTTTACATCCCCGTACTGCCTCTTTCCGATCAGCTAACAGATTTTTCAACAATAACTGACAGTGAAATTATATATAAAATAAATTCTCTTTCAATTCTGCGAATATTATCATTTCAGCTAATAAATGCACCAACTTTTTAAAATTTCACTTCAATTATTATTATGAATCGAGGACAAATCATTACTGACCCATTTTCCAGTTCTTCAAAAGTTCACAACCACTCTTCAATCAGTTAACAAAATGTAAACTGTACCACATAAAAATTGTCATACAATGTTAAAATATAATTAGTTCTGTATTTTGGAGAAATTTTGACAAACTCAACTTCAGATAAATGGTGATAAACAATTTTAACCTAATTATAATGCCATTTTTCAATCTAGATATCTATTTGCAGTGGTAAAGCTGTCACAATTGGGGTATGGGTGTACATTTCAATTTGCATAACAGAAAAAGCATGTTCTTGTGAAATTTTTAGGATCCTAGGGTCTATATGACCCCATTCTAGTGACTCCTTACTGAAAAGTTATCACAGAGAATGTTTTTCCTTGGTTAAGTGACTGTTACTTTACTGATGTATTACCTTCCAATTAAGAACTGTATGGTAAAATATGTACATATTAAAATTACAGCTTTTGAAGTGTAGCAAACATAATGACTTCATGATATTGAAACAGTTGTCCAACTTAATATCCATTTCTGCAGACTGACAAAAAACTGAGTCTGTAAATCAATTATTTTTAGAAAATTATTGCGATTTGTAACTGGGTAAATAATTAAGGATTAGTGGAAAACACACATTTTACATATTTTGAACTAAAATGCTAGCATTTTCTTTTTTATCGACATAATTGACATTGCTGCTGATAAATTTAGTCAAGGTAATACAAGATGTGCTTACAGTTTGGTTACATGACAAATAAGGTCAAAAATAAAAAAAAATTCGAGGGATGATTGAAAAGTGGTTGTGATTGAAAACTGGCAGTATGTGGACATATATAAACTAGTCTTAACCTCTCCACCATGACGCCATCAAGTCATGACGTCACAAATGTTAATGTTGAAAAATAATTTTAGCTTAATTTGTGTTATTTATAACATACTGTTTGCTTACCATATATTTGTCCTTCCATTTTTGTTTGTTTTTATTTTGTTTAGATAAAAGATACATAATATTTTACATTTAAGAGAGAAAAAATTACACTTACGAACGGGGAATAGATCTACCTAAGTTATCGACAGATTTTGCACTTAAGATTATCTTAATATATTTCATGAAAAGGAGATAACTGTAAGATTTCACTTACGATAAAAAATCGTCGTAAGATTTTTTTGTGAAAATGGCTGCTGTAATTCCAACATACAAATAGTATAATATAATGCATTAATGCAGACATTTTGTCTATAATTTTGCCCTAACTTATTTTTTACGGTAATCGGTCTTCTAAATACACTAAATAATTCATTTCATATAATTAAGTTGTAAAATGAAATCACATCTTACAAAAAGTTTGCATGGCGCATTTTTTCAAAATTATTCAATTTAAATACTTTGAATTACACGAGAATCTCATGCATTGTTAAATCAAACTTATTTAGAATAAAGTAAAAGAAAAAAAAACAACATTCAGTTAGATCTAATATTAAATTGATAGCATAGCATCATGTGTATATTTATTTGAAATCAATTTTATCAAGAGTCTATTTATCCAAAATAGGATATTTCAAACATTTTATCCAAAATAGGATATTTCAAACCTTTTATCCAAAATAGGATATTTCACAAAGTAATTTTAGGGCCGAATTGACCTATTTTGAGGCCGAGATTTTTGGGGCCGATTTGACTTTTGAAAACTGATTTGAGGCCGATTTTACTTATTTTGCGGCCGAATTGACTAGTTTGCCATCTTACGTTGGGGGGGGGGGGGGGGGTGGAGTCAGAACTGTCGTTCATTTATTTTGCAATTTTGCAATACAATCAAGTCATTATTCGAAGGATAATTCGTTTATACATTGGTTATTAGAAAATAAGAACTGCATTAACCGCACCCGCCCAACATATTTGCCTAATGACTGTTATACGGTCATTGAAACTTTAGGTAATCATCAAATCAATAGAATGTCCGTTATTGAAATTAAATTTGTTACATAGCTCAAAACAAAGTCATAAGGTTTATAAAAGATTACCATCCAAGAACTAGTTTAACTCCTTCTGATTTTACAGATGTTAACATGTTAACTATTGAAAACAGAGTTAAACAACTAAAAAATAAGACTTAATCATATGCATACGATTTTTTATAATATGTGTCCAACTTATATGAAAACAAATTTTGTTCGGATGTCTGATATACACAACTACAACACTAGATCAAATAAGTTTAATTTTTCAATTCCTCTTTGTAATAAGACATGTAATAGCACCTTTTTCTATAATGGCATTAAAGATTGGAATAGTTTGCCAGATATGATGTAAAATGTATATCAAATCCAACTTTATATAAAAATTCTGTTAAAAGCCATCTTGCTTCAATATGGGCTGCGCAACATCAAAGTGATTTTTTATATTACTAAGTGGCGACATAGGTTCGCCAAACTTTATTGTTTTTTAGTTATCTTATTTTTCCTGTGCCTTTCTTTCTGTGATTATGCAAAACTACTGTGATTGAATAATTTGAAGGTATCTCATTGTCTATTTTTATTTGAGGAATGAATGTCTCTCTGGTTTCATCTTGTTTCCATCTATTTGGTTAACAGGACCCCATTGGAAATAAGCACACCAGCTTAATTGGCTGTCCTTGTAACCATAGATCACTATTTAACAAAACCTTTGTATTGAAATTTTATTGAAATTCTTTTATTTCTTTTATATCATGTTTATCAGTAACTTTAAACAATATTCTGTGATAATTATAATTCTGACTGTTGTAGTCTTAACCTGAAATGTGATTTTATTAATTTATTTATTTGCTTCTTTTTTTAAATACATTTATCCAATGCCTCATCTGATCTCAGTCATTAACTAAATTTGTTTTATTTATTATTAATATGAAATGATATTTTAATTTGGATAAACTGTTATTATATATATCTTTATTTATATATATATATCTTATTATGTAACTCTGATCTATGTTGTTGCTAAAATAAAAAAAAAAATAAATAAAAAAAATAGAATAATTAATAAAATAGCTGATTTACAGCAGACTGCCGAATAGTAAAGTGTTCGATTAACCTTTACAAAGTAAAATATAAATCAAGCGGACTTCAACCTTCGAATCCCAACCTTTTCGTTGCCGAAACACATCGTGCAGTGAAAATGGGAGCAAGTACCTCAGTTTATGAGCCAAATGGTAGTGTAAACGTAATCTTTGTAATGCAAATATTGCAAATTATGTAAATTTATTGTTTTCTGTTTCCCATATTTTTCAAAATAAAGGATTGAGACGCCGGGACAGCAACACTGACGGACACGGCCCAGTCAATTTTCGTCCTTCTTTATTCTATAGTAAATCTGTCACATTTAAAGCTTCATTCTGGAGTTCTATAATCTCAGCAGAATTCTGTATTTCATAACTTTAAACATAAACACTAGACAAGTTAGTCGAAGCCCGAAATTTCCTATGTTAGCCATCTAGATTTCACAATATGCCTTATTCTCATCGATTCGTGCCTTCACATTGATTCGTGACCTATTTAAATGTCTGGTATAAATACTTCTGCAAGGACATACACCATCCGCAAACTACACAAGTTTTATTAGACACTGGATTCGACAATTCTATCCAATCAAAATGCGTAATTGAACAGGTGTAAATGTGCTTACCCTACAATCATCTGATGACTTAATTACTTTAAAATATTCGATATTGATGTTTTAATTTATCAAGCACACTTACACTTAAGCCAAAAAAATATTCATTATGCTGTAAGAATTTACTCGTAGACTTTGAAACATATATTGATCAGATCAGACTAAAAATAAACATGCGAACATTTAGTTGTGTGAGCACCTATATTTTGATGACGTCACAGGGTGAATCGGATTTCACGAATCAATGGGTAAGCGTCCAGCTGAGCAAGACAGTCATAGTTGACATGTTCAGTTGCTCTAATCTTTGAGCGATTGTTTTTAGAAGTAATTTAAAGTTTTTGAACTTTTAGATAATGAATTTATTTAACAAATGCACTAATTGAACTGTATGTATGTCTGATATTTGTTGTGCAAGTGCAATTTTTCCAAATAAGAGTCACGAATAGACGAGAGAATAGCATATTTCTTAATTTGTTAAGTCACTGTCAAATTATCAAAGTTTCAAATGTCATGTATGCTGGCATGTAGTACTACTCGAATCCTTCCACCAAGAAATGAGATCCTGCAGAGTACACAAAAAACAATTTTTAAAGTCATCAGAAATGACACTAAATGTACACTGTATTACAATAAATACACTTAAAATGTAACCAGTCACATCAAAAATGACTTGAAATAGGGCACTTCAA